CCTTCACAGTTACCAACCCAAAATCCAACTCGAACGTGTCCCTTAGGAACTTGGTCACAATAACCTTCAATAACGCGATGACGATGAGGATTTTCTTGCGAGTGAGATAGATAAACAATTCCTTCAACGGTCATTGGTTTCGTGCATTCAGCTCCGTCGAATGTGAAATACCAACGTTTACAGCAGCCTCTGCAATTATAAATGCGTAGAGTCCCTCCATACATGACGTGTAGAGAAGTATTATCATACCTTTTGTTGAAAATGCAGATCTAAAAATTTTAACAATATTAATTCCATTATCTATGAGGAAATTATGCAAAAATGGAACAAGAGGTCTATATATTTGCAAAATTAATGTGTCTCGGAAATTTCGTTTCATCAAAATTAGAATTAACCCAAAATGGTTTTATCCTGAGAAACATTCTTGTGACGACCTTTATGCTGGGCAAAGAAAGGCCATTTTCATATCAGAATTGTGATCGACAAATTGTTCTAGACGGGCTTCAAGAATATGGAAACCAACTTCCTAAAAGCAGTGTTTGCACTGCAAACAGTCTGCCTGCTAAACCTGCATGACTTTGGCATAATTAGGATTATGTTGTTTGAGATTAAACTAGTCGGCCAATCATGCAATGAAATAAAATCTGCCCATGGTCAAGCCTATCTAGACTTGTAGTAGTGTACTTGTAGTGGAAACACGCCAAATAACTTACGCGAGCCCAAAGATCTGTGAAAATAGAAAAATAAACGAGCATTCCAAAGTGTATATTCAACGTACCCTTGGAAAGCACACAAGACGTACAATATAACTTATAGGAATATAGGCCCATTCTACTATCTTGAAGTATCTTCACTCATATACAGAACATATATATATATATCGATCGATGGTAGCAAACCTTTATCAATCCGTTGTCTTTCTCATCATCTCTTTTCCAAACACATTGTTTCCAGTTTGACTTGCTGGCTAAATCCACGAAATCAGATCCACATGTAGTTGGTTCTCCTTTTCCATGGCCACCAGCAGGTCCGACTGGACCTTGGGGACCAACATCTCCCTTTTTCACCACGTCTTCCATCTTTACCAGAATTTCCTGGAACACCAGGTACTCCTGGGATACCATGAGAACCACAACACACCGACGAATCCTTGAATTAAGAAAGTAGACACAGACACAGCCATACCGGTTTATGCGCTGCTTTCTAGTCACGAACTATTTCGTTCGTTGCTAATGAAATAACTAAATGATCATGAATACATGTGTAGCATTTAGTTTTGTGTATCATAAGTGCGTATTTGTTGATCTATGTAGTAATAAATATAAAAGTGCTGAAACTTTTGAGTCTTTTGTGCATATTTTACGCATGATAATTGGACTAAACTGAGCTAGCAGCTTTTAGTATAAACGAACTGACGCAGCAGCTTAGTGACCAAGCATTAAATCCAGCATCTGTTCCCGTAACTAGTTCCTTCTATATTACATAATCGTGGAATTTTATTTGTCTAACTTTCTATAATTTAGTGTATAAAAAATTGCCAAAATGAATTCAGCCATACTTACATTGGCCTGAGATTGAGATGCGAATGCCAACTGAATAGCGAATATTAAACAGAAAACTCTCATGGTGGACTTTTTGCCTCTTGGAATCAGTTTCTATGTAAATTTTGCAATCCCTTTCCTCTCTGAGTACCAATGTGAATGAATATGCTCAGCTCGGTACAAAGCTAAAGTGTTTGTGCAAAACTAGAGTGTTTTCTTTCGTTTCACCTTACTTTAACTACGCATTCGAAACTCGTCTTAATTTACGGATTAAAAAGTAAAATCAACAAGAAAACTGACAGGGAAGGATACATGAAAAGGCATGTCATGATTTTGTCCAGAGAACAGGAAAGGTAAATATTGGCCCTTAGTACCCTTACCCATTTTCTGGCTGCATATCAGTTCCCTGATTATGAGAATTGTGGACTTACTGTGTATGGAAGGGTGGGGTGCTAGCGTTTAGTTTCACAAAGCTTCCCAAATTTCTTGCCTATTTAAGAAAACAGTTTAGTATTTTTGCACAAGTGAACATAACAAATCAGTCCTACAACCTGGTTGGTCAAATTTGACGTATTAAGCTGTTATATTCAGAGTGTATCTAAAAGTCGAGGGTCGAGAGTCGAGAATGTAGATCGAGAGTCGAGAGTAAAGTCGAGAGTCGAGAGTCGGGAGTAAAAGTCGAGAGTGAAAATTCGAGAGTGAAAAGTCGAGAGTAAAAGTCGAGAGTGAAAATTCGAGAGTGAAAATTCGAGAGTGAAAAGTCGAGAGTGAAAAGTCGAGAGTGAAAAGTCGAGAGTGAAAAGTCGAGAGTCGATCGAGAGTAAAATGTCGAGAGTCGATCGAGAGTAAAATGTCGAGAGTCGATCGAGAGTAAAATGTCGAGAGTCGATCGAGAGTAAAAAGTCGAGAGTCGGCAAATGTCATCAGAAACAACAGTCAAAATATTTTTAACCACGTTTAACACAATCTATATATAGCTTTACATAGCCATTCCGTAACAAGTACCAACGGCTGAAATACAAACTTTCCAATAAATATTGCTACAACAGTCAATAATAATAACGTGAACAAAAAAGATTGGATAAGAAAATAATGTCGCATTTGATGCCTCAATCTTGCTAAATGTTTTCACATGTCATTTCATTCTAACTGACACCAGTGGCTTGCTGGCAGGGGGGCGGGGGGCCACGACCCCCCAGCTGGCAATTCTTGGGGGAGCGCAAAAATGAAAATGGGGCGCCGAATTTTGAAAGTGGGTGGGAAAAAACGCATTCTCGAAAAAATATGGTTACTTCCGCCAAGAAAAGACATGTTTATAGGCTACAGTATAAAACAGACTAAGCGCAAAGGCGACATATATTAAATTACAGACTATTTTGCCTGACCGTATTTGCTACCTCACAGCTCACACGAAATCGTTCATATAGAAACATGATCAGTGATCACAGGCAATGTCTCATTACCGGAATATTGGTCAGGTTTCGATCGAAGCGATCACGGGAATTATGCCCTTTTTTGCTGGTATTATGCCCTTATAATATGCCCTTTATTATGCTTTACGAATCACGAGGGCGGCGCAAATTAGATAGTTGAAGTTATGATAACTGATGTAAAGTTGTGTACGCAATTTAGTTGTTTGCACAAGAAGCATGAGTAATGTAAATAATGAAATAATGCTGAAACATGCCCTTTTGGCAGCCAGGCAAGGAAACCTTAAAATGCATATGCGTGGGGTGCTTGTGTTATTGTATAAAAGAGCTTTAAGTTGTAAATGTGCTCAGAACAGTAGATCAGTAGAGAACAGAATTGGGATTAGATTAGTCGCTGGAAGTAGTTAGCATTGCATAATTTAAGTACTACTACTAAATTCTAACCAAATTGAAAATTTCGACACGTTATAATGCCGTTTCCTGACCATCAGATTTCTGTCAAATCTTCCCCCAAAGTCCAGGAAATGGCATTTCAGAGACACTAAATTCAAAAATTTCCCTGGGGGGCATGCCCCCGGACCCCACTAGACAAATCTCGCACCTGCGGCACTCGGCTCGTGCCTTCGGCCCTCGTTTATCAAGTGTAACATTATAGGGGCGCATATTGGTTGACAGCCCACTGGCCCCTCCAGAAAAATAGTACCCAGCACGCCACTGAATCAGGGAGCCAGAAAGAAATTTACCCGACTTTTACCCACTGAATAAAATTTTCCGTGTACTAAATTTCCAAAATTGTCGTTGGGAAGTAGACAAAAATATTTTCCTATTTGTCGATTCCTCGTTACTTTTACATATTTCTGGAATTTTCAAATACCATATTGCATGTACTGTCTTCTTTTTAAATTTATTTCCGCCAATTTTTGCCGGAATTTATACGTTTATAGTTTGCATGACTTTATTTTGACTGGGATTTTATAATCAGCCGTTGTTACGGATCGGTTATATATTGTGTTAAAAATATTTTGAGTTTGTTGTTTCTGATGACATTTGCCGACTCTCGACTTTTTACTCTCGATCGACTCTCGACTTTTTACTCTCGACTTTTTACTCTCGACTTTTTACTCTCGACTCTCGACTTTTTACTCTCGACTTTTAGATACACTCTGGGTCTAACAAAAGAGGTACAGAAGAATCTGAGAATCCCATTTCCGGCGATCTATAGAGATTATAAATATCAAAATTTTTCGTTCAGCGCCTTCTGCCATTTGACCTGTCCATAATTATCAAAACACCCTGCGCCCCTGGATGAACATAAACATATATGCGGAGCAGATACTTTCATGAAGAGAACTCTTGAAAGCTTGCCCAAATTTTCAGGCAATGTAATGACCTTATGACCTAGCCTATGCCATAGACCATACTCGCTTTCTCGTAGAGTCTATATGAATAATATAATACATTTGCTTCAAATCTGCCTGAATTTTCTTGATTTTTTCCACCCTTTGGGTGGCAAGGAAATTTTGTTAGGAAAAAGGAATTTTGGAGATTGTGAATGGATTTTTGAGCGAGGGGTTGTGGAAGCACTGGTTATATTATAATATATTAATTTACAAATTTTTAAATTCTGATCGCTGATTGGCTAAGATTCTGATCGCTGACGCGCCCGTGTTTATATAACTCAATGTCAACACGGAAAATTAAATTTCTTTCTTTATATGTCTTTGTGCTATATTTTAAAAAAATGTAAAACATTTTTTCGTATTAATTGATAATAATTTAGTTATATCAACAATCGTGGAAATTGGGGAAACTTGAAATTGCGCGAAAACACTCCGCCCTTTGGGCGTCGTGTTCCCACACAATTTCTCGTTTTCACAATTCCCACTATGGTGTTGATATTTAAGAAATAAAAAACATTTTCCGTGTTTCTATAGAGTTATAGAAACACGCGTGAAAGTTTGGGAGAAACGAGAAATTGCGTGGGAGAACAGGAGCACGAAGTGCGAGTGTTTCCACGCAATTTCGAATAATATTAATTCCACCTTAATATACGTTGATTCGTGTAAAGAATAATTATAAAAGCATAGCGAAGTAAACAAGTATATCGCTGTCAAAACAACAGACAGCCCAGAGTGCATTCCATGCACGTTTTGTGGAAGATCTTCGGCGTGAGTTTTGAATTGTTGGCGCACAATCACGTCGAGGTTGGCGCACAAGTTTTGAGTTTTGGTGGTTGGCGCAGCATCAAATGTTTAAGCGAGACTTTGAGTATTAATAATCGCCTGGTGATTGGATTGGCCTCTATATAAATTCTTTAGGGACTCGAGAAATTTGTGTTCCTGGTCAGTGTAATATTAATTACTAAATGGTGGTTATAACTTGTGATACAACAGTAATAACATTCATCATTGCTCATCAGCAAAACACCTTATTCATCAGTTACATGCCTTTTTAGCAAGTTTTAATTTGGAAAAACTAACTATTACTACGCATTTCACTGATATGTGCATTCCGCATTTTTTTCTCGCTTCCGAACGGCGTTCGATGCAGGCCTGGTTACAAAAATTGGCGCCTTTTCAAGTTTTCATCAATACTTCTGTCATTCAAGACAAGACATTGACTATTTATATTGATTTATATTAACTTCGGAAAATTCAAACTTGAAAAAGCACCAAATTTTGTAACCAGGCCTGCGTCGAACGTCGACCGTCGAACGCCGTTCGGAAATGAAAAAAAAAAAATGCGGAGTGCACATATCAGTGAAATGCGTAGTAATGAAAAATCATGGTGGCCACAATCAGCCGGCGCACAAGTTGACCTCACTTGGCGCACGGCAACACCATCTCGGCGTGAGGTTTACACGGAATGCACCCTGGCAGACAGCACTTAACAGGCTTACAGACTTAACTAAGTATATATATATAATTCACTCAACAACGTACATGCTTGCATGCAAAGAAAGCACTGTTTTAAATAGTTAGTGAACGTTTAAACATGATTAAAAACTATAGTAAACATGATTAAAAAAAAGGAAATATTTTTTTAAAAAGACAAAGTAAAATTAAAATATCTTACCTTGCTAAACAGTCAAACAGATACAACGTGTGCTATAATTATACTTTATGCTTTAGGTCTTCGCTTTCTAAGTTAGCAAAGTGTTGCCTTTCTTTTTTGTAACGATTCTTCGGCGATCTTCGGCGTTTCGGGACGTTTTTCAACTTTTTTCAAAATTAAAATATTGTTTGCATTTTGTCTTTTAAACTCCCGGGCAATCCACGCAACCCGCGTGATAATTCCCCGTGTTTCTATCGGGTTCATAGATATCTTCGGGTTATAGAAGTAGAAACACGGTTTTTTGAGCTTTTGACCAATCAGCGCCCGTGTTTTTAAAAGGCTATTTTATAAAACTGCATATCAGCACGAAAAATGTTTTATATTTGTTGAATGTTACACAGTTACGGAAGAGGTTATTTCGCTGACCTCAGGCTCAGAATGACATTTCGTCAAAACTTTTTTCTTCAAGATAAGGTTAGGTTAAGGTTGGGTTAGGATCAGGGTTAGAGTTGGTGTTTGGAATAGGGTTAGTGTTAGTAAAACCGTTGCTTTGTTACGTTTTGTCACTCTGAGGCCAGCGAAATAACCTCTTCCCACAGTTACATGGTCCAAATGTCGATATACTTAATTATTTTCACAGAAAATTTTCCAATGAACCTCTTGCGGTCCAAGAAAGTAAAATATGTTTTCCACCCCTGCCGCGCAACAACATTGTAACAAGATACGTCGGATGCTGTTATTTGGAGATATAGGGTTAGAATCGTAAGCAGATTTGTTCGCCTGTAAGATAAACGTTTTAGTGCAGCGCCTGCATGGTAGAAACAATTTAAAATATATAGATCATAAAATATGTCACAATGATAACTTGCGACAAACATAAAGCCCTGAGGGTCAAACGATGAGAATGGCATGGATGAGAATTGCTAAGCTAGAGTTTGCATACGAAAACATGAAAGAGTTGCATGAAAATTGAGTAATTGACTGCATATTATTATTATCAAAACTTGAACCAGTTCAAAGCTGTTGAGAGTTGATCAGACCGAGATTTCAGTCACTACTGAAGCGACTGGATAAACAACCTTCCTTACTTGAGACATACCATCAAATCATCGAAGACCAAGTGGAACAGGGAATTGTAGAGATTGCACCAACAGAATCAAACGAGAAGCACGAACATTACATTCCACATAAACCTGTCGTTCGGGAACAAGCTGAATCAACAAAAGTTCGCATCGTCTACGACGCCTCCGCAAAGGTTAACGAAGATAGTCCGTCACTGAATGACTGTCTAGAGATTGGCCCTCCACTTCAACGAAAGTTGTTAGATATTCTTTTGCGAAACCGAGTTAAACCTGGGCTATTAGCTGGAGATATAAAGCAAGCGTTTCTTCAGATTGTTATCAGAGAAACCGAACGTGACGCTTTAAGGTTCCTGTGGATAAATAACTTGCACAGCAGAGAAGAGAAGAGAAGATCTACCGCATGACAAGACTTATGTTTGGTCTGGGTCCAAGTCCATTCATTCTTGGAGGGACATTGAACGTTCATCTAGAGAAGTACTCACAAGATCTGGCATCCGGTTTGTGTTCGAGAGCTTAAAGATGATACATACGTGGACGATATAAACATTGCAAGCGACACAGTGGAAGAAACGAGAGTAATCAAAGAAGATGCTGTGAAAATCCTGGGTGATGGTGGCTTCATGTTACATAAATGGCATTCGAACGCCGCAGAATTAGAAAGTGATGTAAAGGAAGATGAAGAAACTACCTATGCGAAGGAACGTCTAAGGACAACACCATCAGAGACTAAACTTCTTGGATTAGGCTGGAACAAATCAGAAGACACTTTGTCAGTACGTGACATTTCCACCAAACGAAAATGAAGTTACGAAAAGAATCGTTCTGAGAACTATGGCAAAAATATATGATCCGCTGGGTTTAGCAGCCCCTATTCTACTCACGGCCAAAGTGATCTTTCGAGATATCTGTGATTCTAAGCTACGATGGGATGCAGATCTACCTGAAGAGCTAAAGCGACGATGGGAGAAATGGTTGAAGAATTTACCTGTCCAGTTGAAAATGCCAAGAGCAATACCTAGAGAAATTGGTGTGATTGTCGAATTGATTCTTCATGGATTCGTAGATGCGAGCCTTCTTGGTTTTTGCGCTGTGATCTATGCTGTTATCAAGCAAGCTGGAGTGATTAGTTAAGGGTTCCTGATTTCGAAAACAAGATTGGCCAAACGGGACTTGACTATTCCGTGCCTGGAGTTAGTGAGTTGCCACATGCTAAGTAAAGTCCTACATAACACATTCAAAGTTCTTAGTCATATACACATTGCTGGTGTATTCGCATGGTCTGATTCTACTGTCTGTCATCAATGGATCCAAGGTCAGGGAAGATATAAACAATTCGTAGCCAATTGGGTAGAGAAAATAAATGAGAAGGAAGAAATCGTTTGGAAATATGTACCTAGTAAAGAGAATCCTGCGGATATCGGTAGTCGGGGATCAAGTGACTTGGAAACTAACGAAATGTGGATGAGCGGTCCTTCATGGCTGAACAATTCCGACAGCTGGCCGGAACAGATTGTTGCTAAACCTTCTGATGTGTCGGAGTCCGAAAGTCGCACAATCAAGACCGTGATGAAAGCTGCTGTTCAACGAAAATCAAATGTTTTTGACGACCTTTCAGCGAAAACAACCCTATGGAAAACTGTGCGGATTTTGGCATGGATCAAAAGATTTGCTGTCAATTGTCGGAGAAGTAAAAGAATCAGCGGACCACTAACAACTGAAGAGACTAAGAAACAATTGAAATTTCTGATTAAACGAGCTCAAGAAGACGGTGAAAATTCTGTTCAATTCAAAGAACATTCTCAACGATTGAATCTCCAGAAAAATGAAGAGGGCATTTACGAGTGTAAGGGGAGAATTCAAGGGTTTTATCCGATTTACTTGCCATCAAATCACCTCCTATCTCTGAAGATTGTCGAACGTGCACATCTTTACACCCTTCACGGCGGGGTTGGGTTAACCATGAGTAAAGTACGCGACGATTATTGGATCCCTACATTACGAAGTCTTGTGAAGAAAGTTATTCGTAAATGCTATGGGTGTAAACGATTTTACACAACGCCAATGCCTCTGAAGGGGATTTCACCTTCAGTTCGTTCTTTTGGAAGATTCCCCTCCACCTCAGGGGAATCTTCCAAAAGAACGAATTGAAGGTGAAATCCCCTTCGAAGTAACTGGTGTCGATTATGCCGGACCAATCTATTACAAGGGAAATGGGGGAGCTGATCGTAAGTCGTATATAGTCATTTATACCTGCAGTTTAACTAGAGGACTTCACTTGGAGATTCTGCCAAACATGAGTTGTGAAGAGTTCCTGATGAGTTTTAAAACATTTATCGCAGCAAGAGGTCGTCCGAAGAAGATCATATCCGATAATGGAAAGACTTTCGTGGCTGCTGCCAAATGGATCAAGAAAGTCGTACAGAACGAAAAGTTACAAGGCTATCTGAGTGAACATTGTGTGAAATGGCAGTTCAATCTAAGCAAAGCTAGCTGGTGGGGTGGAATGTTTGAACGAATGGTTAGCATAGTGAAACAAGCTCTTTACAAGGTCGTAGGATCGGCAAAACTTACCTTCAAAGAATTGCAAGACGTGATGCTAGATATCCAGCTCGTATTGAACAATCGACCACTATCGTACTGCGAGAATGACATTCAACTTCCCGTGTTGACGCCGAACATGATGATCTTCGGTAAAGCAAATTATCTTATGGAGTTATCACCCGAGGATGTGGAAGAACGAGACCTGCGAAAGAATGAATTAATGAATGAAAAACTTTATTTTACGAGGGTAGCGCATAATAGTGAATTCACACTAACAAACCTGTGGCCCTCAGATAAAATAAAATATTACAATAATACATACTAGATTAACTAAACAATATATACATAAATAAGATTTCTAAAATACAAAATTAATAATTTGAAAATATTGTAGTAAAAGTAGTAAAATGTTTATGTTCTTTCTGATATTCTAAAAATATATTAATAATAGACCGTTTAAATGTTTTGGCTGATGCAATGGATCTTATGTTCAGCGGTAAACTGTTCCAAAGTTTACTTGTGCATGTTGAAAACCTTTTACCACCCTCAGTTTGACGATAATATTTCGGCGTTCTAAATAACAGTCCTGCACCACGTGTAGAACGAGAGTGCACTTCGCTATTCAAAACCAGCAAATCTTTCAGATATTCTGGTCCCTCACCATTAATACGTTTATGCGCCAACATGCACCTCCTGATATCTGATTCGACATAAAAAGGAATCCAATTAAGTTGATTGAATGCATCAATAGACGGATGCCGTGGTTCCAAATTTAAAATTATTCTGGCGGCACGCTTCTGAAGCTTGAAAAGTTTCAATATGTTGTCTTGTCTACAATTAGACCAAACAACACTACAGTACATGAACAACGGCTTGATCATTGCATTATAGAACAAGACTCTTTCAGGAATTGGAAGAGCTGACTCGCTTCAAAATTCCAAGTCGCTTTGAAATTTTCTTTGAAGTAGAATTAACGTGATTATCAAACGACAGTTCTGAATCAACTCCCACACCCAGAAGTTTAGCGTTACTCACTTGAGAAATGTTTGAGCCATTTAAGTTAATATCAATGCCTGTGGCAACAGTAGAACGTTTCCCACCAACAACCATAATCTTCGTCTTATCCGCGTTCAGTGGTAAATTATTTAAAGTTGCCCATTCATCGACATTTGCCATTTCCCTTTGTACCTTATTTTGCAGCTCCTGAATCTGGTCTCGATCACTAGATGCAATAACAATGGTATCATCCGCAAATAAGTCAGTTTGTGATTGAGTGTATAAAGGAAGATCGTTAATAAAAATCAGGAACAAGAGAGGGCCAAGAATTGACCCTTGAGGAACTCCGTCAGTAATATCCCTAGCTGTTGATGATGTGCCCTTATAATATACATACTGCTTCCTCCCCGAGAGATAGGAATTGAACCAAGACACAGCAGCACTATCAAGTCCATAGCATTCCAGTTTCTTTAACAAAATTGAATGGTCCACCATGTCGAATGCCTTCCGATAATCAACAAGTAGCATCACATTAATTTGATTCATATCAATCTCCTTAAATAGCATGTCAATAATCTTTATGAGCGCAGTTTCTGTACTATAATTTGCCCTAAATCCAGACTGACTTGCATAAACCAAGTTATGCAGCTTCAAATAGTGAAATAAGCTGTCATAAACATGCCTTTCAATAATTTTTGAAAGAACAGGCAAAACCGAAATGGGCCTATAATTATTACCATCGCTCAAATCGCCAGATTTAAAAAGCGCGGTAACTTTTGCCGTCTTCCACAAAGTTGGAAATTCTTGCGTTGCAAATGAAAGATTAACAAGTCTAACAATACTTGGGTGCTAGTTCGTTGATACCAATTTTCAATAAGCCAATGCTAATACCATCAACACCAGTTGCTTTACTTGCAGACATCTTTGACGATTGTTCTATTACAAAGTCATTAGTAACAGGAGGAATGCTGAACGAGGTTGTATGGAAGTTTATTTTTGAACTTACAAAGTCTCACAACTTGGATAAATTCAAATCATTCGACACCCGAATTACATTTGATTGAATCTTCTTCGCAACTGTTGTAAAATGAACATTGAAAAATTCCGCTATTCCACTAACATCATTAATTAATCTGTCTCCATCAGAGATGAATGAAGGCTGAGAACTTATGATATTACCGCCTAAAGATTTTATTAACTTCCAAATTGCTTTAGAATCCCCACTATTATCAGCAACAGATGTTTTAAAATAATCTCTTTTAGCTTTCCCAATCATTTTAACAACTTGATTTCTCGCCATTTTATACAGCTTCCAATCGTTAATATTCATTGATTTCTTTGCCCTCAACAAAAAATTATCCCTCTCCTTCATTTTCGATAAAATACAGTTTGACATCCATCTAGGCTGAACGGGCTTAGAAATACGCTTTTGTTTCAATGGAATGTGATCATTTACCACTTGAGTGAATATATCAACCCACGCATTAACAACATCATCAATGTTTTCAAATATAAATGCCGTATCCCAAGGAGCTTTCCGTAACGAATCTCTAAAATTATTTTCATCAAGATGTTTCAAGTTCCTATATGTAATAAGGTTATGATCAACATTCTTACCTTTCTTACCGTACTTACGTACGACAAAAACAGGTAAGTGGTCAGATAATGCATAATTTCCAATTGAAACTTTGGAGATGTTGTTGACCTTATTTGAATAAACATGATCCAAGCATGTACCGCTATATGGACGTGTTATTGTACTAACAAGTTGTTTAAAATTCGTACTTTTAAGGCTTCGTGCCAAGTGATGTTTATCACATGTTCGCGCACCCGTTCCGCACGTTGTAACCAATAGTTTATTGGCGTTGTAATGCCATTGTATGCAATAAAGTATTGGGTTGTAACTGAAAACAAAACCGCAACCACTGCACAAAAGTTTTAGTTATAAGTGTAATTGGCTTTGCTTGGTGGACGGAGGGGAGGCGATAGGGCAATTCTCACTCAAAAATAACATATCCAACTTAGTATTATTAACTGTTAGCATTAGTCGTATTTGGTCGAATTTAGCAGCAGTAAGACAGCCTATATTCCAATGGCCCAATCTCAAGCCCGAATTGGGCAGACAAAGATTAAAGTATGAATATAAATTAGTCGTAGACGTGGCTTCGCTATCATGATTAACTTCACACGGAATATTAGATAAATTTTTTCTACCTATCTCTCTGGATTTATTTGGAGGGTCTTCAAAACATGTATCAAAACATGTATCAAGAGTATCAAAACATTAAATGTACAACATGTGAGTCAATATGTGAGCTGAAAGGAACTATGTCCATTAACGCAAATAGATTATAGTGACGTTCGTCAAAGTAATATCAAATTTTGTTTTCCAGTTTTCCTTAAACTGGAAAATACACGAAACTGAGTGAGAATAACTGTTAATACATTCTCTTGAACTAAATTGTTCTTCCTCTTCGAACTAAATTTATCTTTTTAAAAAGTGATTTTGACTGGTGGGGGGGGGGGGCAAAATAGGTAACTGGGGGCCTTACCTCGAAATATCAAATTTTTACTTGTATTTTTTCAGCTAGTAGAATCCCTATCAATCTACAGTTTCCTCATATAAAATCACTCTTTAATTAATTATATATAGTTTTAATCCAGCTTATGTTATCATTTATGTGTCACTTGAAATCATTCATAAAGTTTTTCCGATGAAACAGTAGTTTATATGATAATACAGCTACTGCTTCGGCGTCTTGTGGTGTAGACAGGGGAAGGTGCGAAACTTCTCTTCACTTCGGACAACGGGTTATCATAATTTTTTCTTTTCCACGAGCTGGAGTAAACCATGACCTTGGTCACAAAAGCCTTTCTTCCCAAGACCATAACAGATTCCGCGGCTGCAAAAGTCACTTCTTTTGATGAAATATCGAGAAAGTGATTACCGGTATCTTTTCCAGCACAATATGCATCATTGCGAAAGAAACACTTGTCTTCCAGGAATGAAGGGGAAAGTGCTTCACAATAAGCGACCAATGTGCGAGTGTCATGGTCGCTCAAGCTGTAGTAGTTGCTGTAGTCCTTGTATTTCGGGTCTACGTATTCAGTATCCGATCTAAGAACCTAAATAAGGAACAGAAAAGAAGAAAAGTGAACAACATTTTAAGGAACAGAAAGGAAGAGCATGTTAAGTTGTGTTTTAGTAAACCAAGGAAATTTTGCCACTTCATGAATCCTATCTGATCACGGAGCGCAGTTACGGCACAGAATAAAGATCAGTACCAGAAGGGCCACTCAGCGTTGCAACGTGTCACCATTTTTCTATGCAAAAATATGCAGTTGACTGGCCAGAAGGCGGGGCCTTCAGCCAATACAGCGCGTTTACTGGCCAGAAAATGTAATCGACTGGCTAGCAAGATGGCGACCAGGGGGCCCTTCTGTGTGCCTTATTCTGTGGTTACGGTGAAAAAGTCAGTATAAGGAACTAATCCCAATCCACCCTGTCCATGTCACATTCCTGGTGGGCCGGAAACTCAAGTACCCGGAGAAAACCCACACAGTGTCTTGTGTTCGCAGCGAGAATATCCACTCACCTTTCTCCCAGTGAGCCTGCTCGCAGGCTAGTTTATTATTTTTTTATTAGTTTAATTAAAAATTTTACCACATTGCAGCCAATAACTGAATTACGTGGTTTACTGCATGTATCACTAAAAGAGCACTAATCTACTTGTATTATTAATATACTGCTTATGTACTGTACATGGGTTAATGAATTTACAGATTCTATTTAAAAAGCATGCATAAAAATTTTTTGAAAACCCACCCTCTACCTGAAAGATCGTTTAAAAGAGTTAAACCGTGCAATCTATACTAAACTACTACACGTAGCAGCAATAAAACATGTGATCGTATTTTACCCGGGGTAGTACATTAAACGTGCTTTTGGGACGTCAGGCACGTTCACCCGTCGGGTTAATTAATGTATCTTTTACATCGATTTCGCGTCCTCGAAAAGTCGAATGCCACTTTTAAAAGCCGCGAAGATTTTAATATAACCCTTCCTCGATGAAAACTATGGAAAATGAATCTACCTGTTCAATAAAATTGAAATAAATAACGACGTTTTAAAGATTTCTATTCAGTGCTCTGCATGAAATAGGATTAAATGCATGGCTATCTTTGCATCTCCATGCATGGCTATCTTTCAAGAAACATCTTCATTTATTCATTGAAAACATTGCCGTAATTAATTATATCTAAATAATTTTATAGTTCTGGTTTATCGACCAAAGAAATTTTCAACATCTCAAGTATGTTTTCGTTTCGTTCTAACCCAGTTCAAAGAAAAGCATTTACTAGGAATTGGGCACCACGCAATGTTTCTTCCTGGAACCATAAAACAACTTTCACTTGCATGAAAAATAGTTTGATGAAAGAATCTAATGCAAATACTATACTTGTAGATCAACTTTCATCAAGCTCAAACGACATCTAATATAGAATGTACCGTATAGAAATCTGGAAAAACGGAATATATGCATTTTGTGGCTGGCAAAACTGTGATTGGTAGACGCGTGTAATTGTCGGCTCGCAAGTCGCAAATCAGAAATTACTTATATGCATTTCTAATTCGACGGCGATGTTTTTTTTATTATTACTGCAGGAGGAAACCTAAAATAACTAATTGTATGCTTAATTCACATATAAAGGATGATTACACTCCGACTGAATGACTGATTAACGACTTGTAAACTCAAAATTCGAGTTCTCTAATATAAACAAAGACAACGAAATTCAAGTATTCGGCCTTGATTTTGCGCGGTCTTGTTTAATTAAATAGCTTGAATATTGAGTTTACATGGCGTTTTAGTTCGCAGATCCTGAGCACAATTTTATTTGTTAAATTAACTTATTCCGACTTTATAGTATTTGGTGAATTTTTCAATGAATTACGTACAAATTCAGCGCCGTATATATGGTCTGCGCGAATACAAGCAAGCCGTGAGTTAGAAAGGCTATACTGTAAACAATCAACTAGCATTGTTGGGTCTGTTTCAAGACCATGCCTTGGTAATGTTGGCTAATGTTCGAAAATTTTGGATCAGTTTTGACTTTATTCAAAACTTTCATTCATCATCACCAAAATTGTTGAACCAACAACTGGTTTGATATTTTACAGACTGTTTTTAACAGACTGATTTTACAGCATCGAGAAATTATGGGGTCATGAACTTTAATCACAAGATTTTTGCAATGTGTGAAATTCGCAATTTCAATGTAATTAGATATCCAGGAACGTATGTATTCAACTCAAACTGAAATTATATGTTGCGGCTTGTTGCCCGCGTTTTCAAACTACTGTTCATTCTTTTGACCAAATCAAGCACAGTGTTTTAAACATTATAACGATGTAAATAAACTACACGACAAAATGTAGTTCCTGAATGAAGTAAAGCCAAGGTAAGACGAAATGAAATATATTCAAGTAAGTTTACATAAGCATATCGAAACACAGCGCCGATTCAAAGTCGGCTGTAAACACAAGGAATTTCTAAAGAAACCAGAAAACAAATAGTCAATAGAAGTTTCGCGAGAGTTAGATGTCATTTCGTGGGCATTTTAATTTTTAATGAAGAAAGTAATTCACAGAATAGATGTCTTTTTATGCTTGCTTTAAACTCGTATTTGTTGAATGCAAAACGGCTGTACACAATGCTGTCTCGGTCAATAATATAAAAATTTTACATAAAAGCGTTTCGTCTTCAGTTCAAAACGACATCTAACATCTTTTCTCTTCTGTATATTTCTCAAGATATTGATTCAACAGTGATCTAAACTGAAAATGGCGTCATACGACACTGGTTGGGAAGATGAACTATTTCAACATCCCGTTGGTCACACGTTGCATTGTAGTATATGCATGAATGTTTTGAAGGATCCAGTTTCGTGTCGACATAATGAGCATTTGTTCTGTCGAGCTTGTATCACCATACATCTCATGAACTTTCAAACATGTCCATCGTGTATGGAACCACTCACTGTCGAATCACTGCGCCAAGCACCTTGGACCGTAACGAACTTACTTTCCGAATTAAAGATCCGCTGTCAATTCTTCGATCGTGGTTGCGGACAGTTTGTTGAATTAGGAGATCTCGAAAGGCATGTTACTGACTGTGGGTTTGCCCCAGCAGTCTGCTCTAACGAAGGATGCCAACTTGAGGTGAATAAACAAGATTTACTACACCATGAAACAGCTGTGTGTGAACTACGCAGAGTCAAGTGCCACAATTGCAACGAAATCAGACAAGAGATGGATACAGTGAAAGTTAATTTGGCAGCAATGAATGAAAAGTTGAAAGGAGTTGGGGAACAGGTGGCCAGAAATGAGACGAACGTTAAGGCAGTGGAGAAAAATGTTAAAACAGCTGTGGGAAATGTGGTCGCAAAAGTTGAACTGTTTCGAGAACAACTCAACAAGCAGGAAGAAAGCAATCGTCATCTCCAAGCGGACAATGTAGAAATAAAGAGAAGTTTAAACGAAATTACAAAACAACTGGAGAGAATGACACAACAAACATTGCATGAAATTCAGGCAGAAGAAATGAAGAAAGCTATCGCAGAAGGTGGAATGGACAGAGAGCCAAAGGTCCTTATCGCTGGAGGCTGGAATGGGAGAGAAAATCTAAATTCAGTGGAAATGTTCAGTCTCTCAAACACAACCTGGACACCACTACAGTCAATGAAAGAAAGTCGTAATAGAGCATATTCAGTTGTTCACAACAATCAGGTTTTTGTCATGGGAGGTGATGATAAGCATGCAGGAATAAAGTCAATTGAAAAACTATCATTGAATGCTGTTCAAGTTGATCAGTCCATAACTTGGGAACATGTTCTTGCTGAGTTACCTGCACCATTGTGGGGACACTGCAGTGTAGTTTATAATGGACGGTTGATAGTGATTGGAGGTTTTGATGATAGTAAACTTGCATATTCTGATAGTATTACTGAGATTTCCCTTGTCCCAACTTATACCAGTAAACTGTTGGCTACCATGCCACAGGCAAGATATCTTCATGGTGTTGCAATGTTTGGTGACAAGATACTGATTCTTGGAGGCAAGCTCAATGGTTCTTCCACCACAAATCTTGCAAGTGTTTTGTTGTATGATATTACTAAGAACGAATGTAAGGAGTTAGCAGCCCTCCCCTACCCCGTGTCTGAAATGGCCACAGTCAAGTGGGATGATGACAGTGTGATCATAGTGGGTGGTACTGGCAGTAACATTCAAGCATTAAACAAAGTTTTATTTTACAAGATCAAGACCCAGAAGAGTCGTATGTTACCAGACATGAAGTATAAGAGGAAAGGATGTGTGGCTGCAGTTGTCAAAGACACTGTGATTGTCATGGGAGGCCAAGATGAAAGAGGAATGTACTTAAACTCTGTAGAATGTTTTCGATTCGATCGCTATATCTGGCAAGAACTTCCTGAAATGCAGCAAGCAAGATGCTGGGCTACTGCAGTTGTATGTTGATTATGCATTGTATATTAGCAACCTAATTAAGTTGTTGCAGTATTTCATACACTTAAAATTTTAAAACAGGGAGATTTCGCTTTTTAGCCCTTAAAAAACTGTGAGATTTTATCAAAAACTGGAAGAGCAAAATTAAAGTCATATGTAGTGTTCAAAACAGTAAAAAATTCTAATCATTTTCCCGGCTTTATAATTAACAATTATTGGATGAGGTTTTTGTGATATGCGTAATTGTCAAGGTCGAGGTAAGGGATTTCAGCCGAGCTGAAGGCGAGGCTGATAATGCTTACCGAGACCTTGATAATTTTGCATATCGCAAAAACCGAATTCAATAATTGTTATTATACATTTGTTTGTGTTACAGTCAAAATACAAGAACCTTCCCACTTCTGTAACTTATTTTGTATTTATTTATTCTATTTTCTGTAGTGATTACCGCTTTATCGGCACATATCGCGTTAGGATCCGGTAGAATTTCGCTTTCCTTCCTTTATATACGTCAATTTGTAGCAATGGATACACCGGCAGGTACAAAACGCAGGTTGCAGGTTGGAATTTTGCAGGTTGCAAATTTCGCAGGTTGGAATTTTGCAGGTTGGAATTTTGCAGGTTGGGGATTTTGCAGGTTGGAATTTTGCAGATTGCCAGGAACTTTGCAGGTTGATAATGCAAACTTAAAATTACACCACTTTTCCAGTATTCTAGTATAATTTAGTTGTGCATTTATTGCAGTCTGACTCCTTGTCGGCGCCACTGCTCTAAGGCTAGTGGCCATCACCCTCGTGAAAACATTCAAAATGACCAGATTGGCTTGGACCTACAGGGAGACAAATGTTTTGATTGTTGAAAGGTGCCTACATGATGTGGCGGCGTTTATACCAGAATGTTGTTAAAAGTTAACTAACTCTCGAGTAATGATATGGTAATTGGGGGCTTGAGTGGACTTCTCATAAGTGGGTGTAGAGGAGAGACACCTCATTCAGGCATTTTCTGAACTGCCACCACGTCATGTAGGCTCCTCGCAACAATCGAAACATTCGTCCCCCTGAAGATCCAAGCCAATCTGGTCATTTTGAATGTTTTCACAAGGGTGATGAGCAGAGGCTAGAAACATGGTAGCAGGATAGGCTGATATCAAAAACGGCGACAAGGAGTCAGACTGCAATAAGTACACAATAAAATTATACTAGAATACTTTATAGTAGCATAATTTTCAGTTTGCATCATCAACCTGCAAAATTCCTGTCAACCTGCAAAATTCTAACCTGCAAAATCCCCAACCTGCAAAATTCCAACCTGCAAAATTCCCAACCTGCAAAATTCCAACCTGCAAAATTCCCAACCTGCAAAATTCCAACCTGCAACCTGCGTTTTGTACCTGCCGATGGATACACCTTTCGTTAGATTCTTTGCATAAAAGTTGCGAAACTTAGATCTTATAGCGATATTTGCTGATAAATCGGTTTTAAACCGAATACAAAAATTTAAAATTACCGAATACAATCATTTGACGTACTAAAATGAAAATTTCACAACTTTTATGCAAAGAATCTAACGAAAGGTGTATCCTTTGCTACAGATTGACATATATAAAGGAAAGAAAGGGGAATTCTACCGCGATATTTGCCGATAAAAAAACGCTACAGAAAATAGAACAAATTGCGTGATTGCACGATTTAACTGTAAGCTCTTAGCCAATCAAATTTTTTTTACCAACTACAATGTATAATAATCATTATAATTGCATTCGCTTCAACAACTTGTTTAATTTAATTTAATTTAATGCTAACATGGCAAGAATGCAACTAGTTTTCGAGATCCCATGTACGCGTTACATATCATATCCTTACAATAATCTACTTATCGCTTATAGGGCGAAAGTGAATAAAAAAGCCGAACACTTGTAGTTCATGGAGTAAGTTTCAGCTTGGACACAAGTGCTTTTCACACGATTACTATTTCTTGCCAGATATTTGAATCTGCAAAATATTCCATTACCTCATAACAATTAAAACAAGCAACCAGGAGAAAATATCTTGATACCGAGAGAAAAAGGTCAAAACTGGGAGTCTCCGGCGGCACCGGGAGAGTTGACAGGTCTGCTTTTGTACTTGGATATGATCATAGTTTTACGAATAAAATTTTATACCAATTTAACCAAGTGTAAAGAAAATTAATTTGCTGAAATTGTTGAATTTATTGTCGAATAAAGTAGTATGCATTAGGGCACATTGTGGCTTAATATTAAACCACCATGCTGCAATGGGCTATTCCATTTAATATCCGTACCCCGGGCCTGTCGAGGATACATGTTTTTCATAGTTATACCCCTGAAGAATTCCAAGCTCAAAACCCTTTACCCCTGAAGAATTCCAAGCTCAAAACCCTTTACCCCTGAAGAATTCCAAGCTCAAAACCCTTTACCCCTGAAGAATTCAAAGCTCATAACACTTTAATACCCCTGAAGAATTCCAAGTTCAAAACCCTTTACCCCTGAAGAATTCCAGGGTCCTCGACAGGGGGGGGACGGATATTAAATGGAATAGCCCAATGTGCCCAAATGCACACTATGCCCGGAGGGAAATATCATCACTGAGGGTAATGTTTCGCCGAATCCCCCAAGCGAAGCCAAAGGGTCTATAAATAATATATTATATGGAAAATTAAAAGCCTCCAAGTTGAACAGAAAATATAAAACTTGCCACATACCTAATTCGTGAATACGATGTTTTATGTTTTGATTAATAACTCATATATTTGTCACTTTTCTTTCCAATCACATATCGTTTGGAATATTGATGATAAAATTTTTCAAAATTTGCTTCAAAATTTTCAATAAAGAGCTTTCTTTGAAGTTTAATATCTTGATATAAATTCATCACTCCTTAATAGTAGTATTTTGTCGGCCATCTTATTTTTTCGCGTGATCGCCGCGCGTGGTGTCCTCTATTAACTATATATGGTTCACGCGAATCGTATAGCTTCTTGATATCATCAGGGGCCGGTTGTATAAAAACGTAGTTAGCGCTAACTGCAGTTAAAAAGTAGTTAAAAAGTAGTTAACTTTAATCACGTAGTTAAGCCGGTTGTATAAAAGTGTAGTTAGCCTTAACTGCAGTTAAAAAGTAGTTAAAGTTAACTATGCTTTTGGGTATAGTTAACTGTCCAAAACGTAGTTAAAAATGGCGTTTGTATAGGAGTGAACAACATTTTTCAATAAAACAACAATGAAAAGCAACGTTTACCTGAGATTTTCAATCGCTATCTTCCCTGTGAATGTTTCCTGACAATATAAACTCTTCAAATGCTATCGC